GCGTACCTCTGGCCATCCCAGTGTTGCTGGGCTGTGATATCCAGGGGCTCCAGCCCGGAGTTCAGGATAATGGGGGCTGCAAGCCCTCATTATCTGGTTGCCTCCCCTTGTACCCAGAGGGCCTGCTCTCGGATTCGTTTTGAGAGAGATCAGACGAGGGGGCAGCTTTATCCTTTGGCACATAGGTGCTGATCCTGGCAAAGCCCCTAAGGCAGTATTTCCCAGCCATGGGTCTCCAAATGTTCTCCTCAGCACCTCCCAGAAGTTTTCACCACTAAGGGTGGGAGTTGTAGTCCAAGAACATATGGGGACCCAAGGGCTACCCAACCACATGGATAGCTGTGTTGGCCTGTGGGCAGCTGTGTACCTTTGCATGGGTGAATGAGCACGGGCCAACTATTGTCTGACCCTAGAGGAGTGCTTGGGGGAAAATGCTGTTGTTTTACTGCTCCCGGTAGCCTGCCTCCAAGCGTGGCCCTCTTCCCATATGGGGTGACTCACTAGTTGTAGTCAAAGAACTGTCCTATAAGGGCTACCCAACTACGTGGGCAGCTGTGTTGGCCCGTGGGCAGCTGTGTACCTATGCACGGGTGAATGAGCATGGGCCAACTACAGTACTGTCTGACCCTAGAGGAGGGCTTGGGGGGGAAATGCTGTTTTACTGCTCCCGGTAGCCTGTCTCCAAGCTTGGCCCTCTTCCCATATGGGGTGACTCACTCTGAGGGCTGTCATTGGAAGAAGTGACTTATTCAAAGTCTTCTCCAGGGTCGCTGTGTGTGATTTTGAGGTGGCTAATGTACAGCATGGGCTGAGCTGAAATAGAACAGGTGTGGAATAAGCCTGAGAGCAACACTGGCATGCACACACTGCTCAGAGAGGACAGGAAGACCTTGAGAGAGTACAGTATTCTATCATTTGCTGGTTGCTACAGCACCAGAGAGGTCCAAGATTTCTTCAGTTTAAGAGCTTGCTTGAAAATATAAATATGAAGCAGAAAATATAAATATAAAACTAGTGAACTCCGATAAGAGTCAAGTCTTCACCTAGGCTGGAGGACAGATCTTGACTTAGGAGAATTAATATTTTGGACAACAGTTCCCATGAGCTATGCTGGAAGAGAGATTTTGGAAACTATAGCACACAGAAGTAATTTTCTTAATCTCTGGAGGTTTTAAAAGCAATTTTGTCTTCTTTTCATGTAGTTCTAGTCGTTCCTTTGTTCATTTTTGAGACACCAGAGAATTAAAAATGCAGTCCAAGGGAGCACACACCCTGCAGGTTCATTTACAGATTTGTTTGTTCTTATGTGAGTCATCATACATGTAATTTATTGACATTCTCAGATACTGCAACATTGCTTGGGTTTAAATCACTCTTGTTCGAAATAGGGTGACAGCTATACTCTAACACTGCCTCTTTAAATGCAGACTCAGTCTGCTACTTGCCCTCTGCTTTTGGAGGCTGTAAAGTTTGCAGGAAGACAGAGGTTGGACTTGATGATCCATAGGATCCTTTCCAGCTCTGCGGTTCTAAGAAGATTATGAAGTATAAGATGAGTTCAACTGACTGCTGTGACAGTTCTGTATGGAGACTCCTTCCCCCTTTCTACCAGACAAATGGAACATTCAGCCTATGTGTGACTTAAAGCTCTGTAGTCCAGGATTGGCATTACCTTTTGATTCTACTGAATATGTAAATAACTGCTAGATGGAGGGGGGTATAAGCCTCCCAGCTCAAAATCATTCTGTATTTACCTACATAGAACTCCATGCCACAAGCATTTTTAAACAATGGGTGGGACCAAGTATCTCCTCAAGAGGTTACTTTGTCTGTCTGTCTGTCTGTCTATCTATCTATCTATCTATCTAAATATTGTTTTATTAATTATTAATTATTAATTAATTTTTATTAATTTTAAATTCATAATTAATTTAGTACTCAAAGTGATGTACAAGTCAAGAGAAAAAAATAAAATACACAAACTCCATAACGCTGAGCACAGATGTTTGTATTGGAAAACCACAACTACATAATAAAATAAGAGGGTGTCATTAACTATTAGAAACAGCACAGTGTTGTCTTCACCAGCTGTATGAAGAATAATAAAGAGTTTCGCTTAACATCCGAGGGACAAGGTATTCCACAGTCAGGATGCATTCCCAATGGCCTCAGCTTTCTAAGCTCTCGAGTAATGACCATTGATTTCAGGCAGATTCCTATAAGAAAAGATGGTGTTTCAATCTGGTCCATCTGGCAATCGCTTTCAATATTCCTTTTTGAAATTATAGGTCTTTTGCTCATCATTGTTTACACGCAAGCACACACAATCATTATAATAATATACAGTGGTGCCTCGCTTAATGATGATAATCCGTTCCAGGAAAATCGCTGTTAAGCGAAAACATCGTAAAGCGAAATAAAAAACCCCATTGAAACACGTTGAAACCCGTTCAATTTGTCCCAATGGGGTAAAAACTCACCATACAGTGAAGATCATACGGTGGCCATTTTCGCTGCCTGTATAGCGAGGAATCAGTCCCTAAACACAGCGGGGAGCCATTTTAATTACCCGGTGGCCATTTTGAAACAGCCGAACAGCTGTTAGAATAACATTGTTTTGCAAAGAATCGGTTCCCGAAGTAGGGAACTGATCGTCGCAAAGCGAAATTCCCCCATTTAGACCATCGTTTTGCGATTGCAAAAAGATCGTTGTAAAGCAGATTCGTCATAAAGCAGGGCAGTCATAAAGCAAGGCACCACTGTACTGTCATTATTTTCTAGGTAAAAATACTCAGAACTGGTTTGCCATTCCCTTCTTCTGGGATACACTGAGAGTGTGCAGCTTGCCCCCAAGGCCACACAGGCTGACTCTTCTCCCGTGAGGCACAGTGGGGAATTGAACTCCCAACCTCTGACACCACAGCTAGATCCCTAAACCACTGAGCTAGTTCAGGAGAAGAAAGCAATGTAGGTATGTATTTTATCTGCATTGTAAAATGTCTTACAGACATGTCACTGATCCCGTTCCTTCCTTCTCCCCCTTTTTTCTTCTAACCAGGTTGAAGCTGAAAGTACTAAAGGGAACAGACAAGCAGTACGGGAGCTGCTGAGCAGAGTAGTGAAGAAGAAACGATGGTTCTCGCCATTTCTGGAAGCCCTCCGTGAATCAGGGCATGGGGATGAAGCCGCTAAGCTCAGTGGGCAGGAAAATGGTAATGGTACGATTTTATGATTTTCATAAGTAGCTAGTGTTTGACCCATGTTTACACATCCAGAGTGCAAATAACTGGCCCAGGATTACTTGGTGAGTGTTATGTCTCAATGGGGATTTGAATCCAAATCTCTGGAGTCCGAAGTCAACATTCACATCGCCAGACTACAGTGGCTATTTTTGGTTAGACCTGTCAAATACGTGTCTAATCGTAGCTAGACTTCTCCATGTCCTCCAAAACCCCTTTGTCCTTTTGTCTTTTATTTTGGAAGAAACAATCCTCCTTCTCGTATATTATTCTATCTATATTAGTCATTTTCTCCACCTGCAAACTTTTCCCTAAAGTTAAACAAATAGTTACTGGCCCCATTTGAATGCTGCTTGTTTATATACTGCTTTTATTTCCATCATTCACTCAGTATGTTTGCTGAAAAATTTGACACTGTTTCTGTTCCTAATTCCTCATTTTAGAACAGACAAAAGTTACTTAATGCCCGTAGCCACTCTCTGTATTGCCCACCAGGCGATTTTCGCCTGCAGCTCAGCTGGGCTGCCATCAGTGAAGTGGTGGTGCGGGGTATCATTTCAGATATTTGTAGCAACAGTAGGACAAAGATCATGATAGGGACTACTGGGAACAGATTTTATGCACGACGTTCATGATGCATCTCAGATCACTGTATCCCCACTGCTGATATTAGTGGGAAAATAATAGTCTGGGTCAGGATTATTCACCCCTAGCAGTCCTGATTTCAGCAGGTAAGGTTTTCAATGCGTTTCAATGGGTCTTTAATTTTGCTTTACGTACAGTGTTTTTGCTTAATAGCGATTTTCATGGAACGGATTATCGTTAAGTGAGTCACCACTGTAAATGTCCCTTACCTAGTATGGTTATGGAGAGGAAAGTATGTGTCCATTCATGCAAACTGCATTTGGATACCCATGACCTACCAACTTGTCTTTTGGGCTAAAAAAGCTTGCCTGCACCTGTTCTAAAAGACCCTGCTTCAGGTCTAGTGCTCATCCTGTGTACTGTGACTTGAAGCACATGTTATTTAGCCACCTGTACACTGTGCTACACTTGTAAAAGACAGCACATGGAAGATGTCAGCTTTGCGCTGTGAAATGTGCAGACTTTGCTGATTGAAGAAACACACACACTCTCCTCTTCTACAAAAAGACACGTGTATTAACAAATATATACAAATATACAAACTGGCAGACCTTCGGCGTAGCAGGCAAAAATATAGGCAAAGTGGCATAGAGGATAGTAGCATAGGAAAGAAGGAGAAGATACATTAATGTTCACACTGTTCCCTTATATACAGTTAAACTGATCCTTCTGTCCAATCACTGGAAGTGTTGCATCATCTTCCTCCACATGGGTGTCACATCTTCTCCAGGCATTGCATCATCTTCCTCTTAGTCACAGTGACTCAGCAGTCACACAGCTGTTCATTATGGCAGTTCATTAATGTTACATCTGTACCTGTTCAGGCTTATAAAATTTACAATACTTTGACAGAAGAACATGCTACAGATCTCATGTTGTGTCTATCTGGTCCTTGAAGAATGCCCATTGCTTACTTTCATGTTTGATAGTGACATTAATCAGCCTTCTAGTCGGCTTTCTGGGTGCAGTCCAAAGCAGTGGCTGTGGCTTATACAGCTTTATGAAGGATTATGTCTCCCCACATGAGCCTGCCCAGAGCTTAGGATCTTCAGGAAAGGCTTCTGTTTCTCTCCTATCCCCCTCACAGGCACAGTTGTGAAGCCACAGGTAGGGGCCTTCTTGGTGTCTGCTCTCAGGATACAATACTCCCTTTTGAGAGAGGCTAGACCGCCCCCCTTCCTGTTGTCCTTCTGCCAGGAGATAGAAGCATTTTTATTTAGACCCACTTTGGCCACTGATTTGTCGATAAGGAAAGGCCTTCTTATTTTTGATACTCTGCATAATGATATTTTAATACTATAATATAATGGTTATGGTTTGGTTTTGTTTTATCTGTTTTAAAATGCATGTAGTAAACTACTCTTATAAGGAAGAAAGTTGGGTTAATTAATATAGCTTGTTGAACTGTATTATCATATGTGTGTGGCCATTTGGCCTATGGGTGATTATGAACTCCAGCTGAAAAGCAAAAACTTTTTTTGTTATGGATTCTAACATTGTATTTGTGTACACAGAATATTATGTTAATGGGGCCTCTGCACCTGAGGATGAGGAGATGGCCGCAGGCAATCCCCTTGTTTCTGAAGATGTGGGAGACCTGAATCTGGGTGCTGAGTTGAGGCACAACATGAAGGCTGGTGAGAAGAATGACTCAGACAAATCCTTCAACGGCGCCTCAGCAATGTCAGGTGACATATCAGCTACTAGCCTTTACAAATCCCTCCATACAATACAGTGGGTTCCACTAAAAGTTTAGGGTATCTCCCTGAAATTAGTTCTTTATCAGATACCAGAGGGACATTTTAGCTTTCTCTGAAAGTGGCACACATTTTGATGGAGCAGTTATTTTGCCAGAAGAGGTTATTGAAAGACAAGAAGGAATGCTTACTATGGGACAGCAAAAGCCACTTCCAGTCCCTCCCCCACTTTCTGTAACACTTAGCACTCACCTTTTAATTAAACTCTGTTTAAAATCTGCTGGTTATGTCAATGGCAGCAGGAGCAGAGCAGAGTTTGAGATGATCTCTGGCAGGTGCCACAGAAACAACCAGCAATGCTGCCAGCTTTTAAAAACCATCAAATGGATTTTTGTGGAAGTTAAAGCCACGGGGCGGGTGTGGGTGTGGAGGAAACATTGGAGAAAAGTATTCCACACACACAAAAAAGAAAAAAAAATTAGGCTTAGCCCTCTGCCTCAGGTGGATATATTAACACAAGAATGACAAATTGGAGCAGCCATTTAGGTACATCCCTAAATTCTGCTGTTAAAAGTGTTCCGTTCTTACCGTACTTCCTGCAGACTTTTGTGATGTGAGGAAATAGTCAGCTATGCCACACACCCCTTCCACTTTTTCTCCCCCCATGTTTTGTATCTCACTCCCAAATCATTCAGTATTCTCAATCCTCACTGGATTGTTCCCGAATTTCTTTTCATATTTGAAGGCCTATGTATTCCCCACCACCACATCTTCCCCAGGCCTCCTGATACTTGTTTGTGCGCGCATACATGTGTAGCTTGGCTGTGTCAGAAATGGCACTCATAGCCTGAATATAGGAAGCAAGGGGTGCACCCTGTGTATAGGGGAGAACCTTCAGAACTCTCCCAGAAGGGTGTTCGGAGTTAGCGAAATGATTGTGAGAAGGTAAGTGAATGGGCAGGTGTATGTACCTGTGCCTCTTCTATCATCTCCCTTTCCCAGTCATTTTATTGTGTTCCTCCTCGGACTTGGAATATAGCCATCTGGCATTGTTTGGGCATGGAGTATGCTTAGTCCTTTTTGTGCTTGGTGTGAGGGTTCGGGTTGAATTTCAAGTTGTCTCTCATCCTCTCGAATTCCCACATCTCCAAACACGGACACCA